TCCAGCCACGGGGACTCAGAACAGCTTTTGAGATCCCACTAAGTCGTGTAAAAAGAGAAGCAGACCATGATTACAGAAGTGAAAGCATAAGGCATAGGTAGACCTCCAAGAGGTCATCCAAATCTTGTATTCGGAGACCTCAGTCCTCCCCAGACGCTTGTGAGTCAAGGCGAGACATTCCCCAGGTTGACTCCCTTCTCCTGGATAAAAGCAGAGGTGACTCAAAAGTCCTTCAGTATTAAGAAGACATTGAAATCTAGAAATTTCAAGTAGAGCTGTTTGTCAGAAAGCCTCAGCAAAGATCGTGTCGCAGCTCGCCCAGACTATGAAACCCTCACTGCTTTTGATAACTGAGTCAAAGAACCCAACATGGGGATTCACGTGAACCAAGCCAGGCCCAGCTGTTTCGATTACAGTGCATTTCTGAGCCCGAGGCTCACACGTGGAGCAGGGGAAGAAAGAGGGTTGCTCCCACTAAGGTTTCATCACCACGGGACTTGTTTTCTCTTGCTGGCATGTCAGATGAAAAGGGAACATGTGAACCAAACAGCATGAGGTGGGAGCTACCAGAAGCCCGTGTGGGGAGCCCACGTGTGACCCCCTCAGCCTGGGCATGTGCACAGAGCTCTTAACTCAAGCACGCCTTTGCTGTGCTCGAAGCTTGTGCAGATCTAACTTCTGAGCACCTTGCAAACATCTTAGAGACGTTGGAGGGAAAGGGAGAGGGTCTGGAAGGCTGGGAACAAGCAAATATCACCACCGTTTTCCAAAGGAATGGGTTCTAAAAACTCCAGAAGGGCAGACTGACCCCAATTTCCGGGCAAACCCGGAAGACGTATTGGGCGAGGCTCACAAGCATTTGGGAAGAAAGTGGTGGTCTCGAAGAGGCAACACAAGTTCTCTAAGAGAAAGTCATTCCATGCTAACCTCATTTCCTGTTTTGACGAGCTTCACCAGAACAGTCGATTAGGGGAATGCCCCAGAAAGTGTGTCTTGCTTTCAGTAAAGCATCTGAAAACCTCTCATTGTATCCTATGTACATAAGGCACAAAAGATGGCCCAGATGACGGCAAGAGTCAGAAAATTCACAGCTGGTAGGACAAATATCCCAAAGAGGGCCACTCGTGGCATCGTGTCAGTCCTGCTCCCTCTACTCCCACTTCGGCTGCTGGAGACGGCCAGGCTGGCCAGGGCCCCCAGGAGATCTCAGGTGGAAAGACTATTCACTGCTTTCTCCCCACAAAATGATTCTCTGCAGCTCAACACATAGAGAAGGTTGAGGACTCCAAGGTGACCGTGTTGGTCTGTGGCTGGTTTTGCACCAGTTATGTCCTTTGGTGGGAAGTAGGAGTGTTCCCATGGAGAGCCACAGGGCCCTGTCCTGTGTTCTGTCTCACTCACCATTTTAAAAATAACTTGGAGGGAGACACTGAAGGCATATTTGTCAAATTTGCAAATCACACCAAGCTCTGAGGAAAAAATGGCCTCAAAGAATGAACTCTCAAGAGTTAGAAGGCTGGGACGAGACAAGACAGAACAGAGTGGAGCCCTGTGTTTCTTTTAAAAACGCAGTCCACTGTAGGAGTACAATATCGCCTCAGTACGTTTGACTCTAGTTATGCTACTACGGACTGGGGTGTGGCGAGAGATGATAAAACACTCCAGTCTTCACCTTTCCTTTTCAATTCTTTCCATAATATTGCGCTCTCTCTTGGGGTGTTAGACGGGCGCTAAAACCCCTTCCCTTCTTCTGTTTCTGGCCTTGTTGTGAGGACAAAATAAGTCAGAGGTGGTAAAGTGCTCTGAAAAAGGGAAAGCTCTGAAATTCAAAATAGTATGATTATTTGTCGTAAGGTGCTTTCCCTCCAAAAAAAGAAAAAAAAAAATCTGTGAGAGATAAGCAGAAAATGATTCAGCTTTGGCTTCTGTTTCTCCAGCTCTCACCCCAAACTGGCTGAGCTTGCTGAGCGGCCTCAATGAGCCCATCTCAAGAGCCCCAACACCTCCCACGTTCCAAATCCCTCCTCTGGCCATTTGCTTTCCTGAAGGCTCTCCCTGGAAGGCCTGCTCTCCACTGTCCCAAATTCTGGGATTACAGTAATTAAATAATCATACAGAAAGCTCCCTCGCCAGGCCTGCGTCTTCAAAGATGCAAACGGAGTGAATGGCCAACGTGAATGCCACGTGGCTTGGGTCAAGGCCTTAGATTTCTGCGATATTTTAAATTCTTTTCAATCCTACCATGCAGCACTTTGAAAGCATGTCACTCTCATTCTGCATGAGCCCTGGCTTAAAAGGTGGATGAAAAATATGCTGCAGGCCCAAGATGGGAGAGCAGACCTTAGTCAAGGGAACAGACAGAGAATTACCTTAGACATCTTTCAGGTTCAGTGTCATTTCACTTGGCGGTTACAGGCATCAGAGGGCCCCCAGACTGAGTTGTCTGGTAGAACTTTCTATGATAATACATGTATTCAGTATCTGCACTGTTCAATATGGCAGCCACAAGTCACATGTGGGTATTTACATTTAAATTAATTAAAATAAAAAGAAATTAAAAATTTAGTTCCTCAGTCACACCAGCCACATTTTACAATTTCAATAGACACAAGTGGCTAGTGGCTACCATATTGGACAGTATAGCCCTAGACCAACAGCTGTCAACCTTGGCTCCACGATAGAATTACCTGGGGAGTTTAAAAATACTGATGCCTGCCTCCCACCCCAAGTTCTGGTGTGATTATTCCCGGTGGAGCCCGGGCATTGGATTTTTGAAGACTCCTGGGTAATTCTAATGTCTGGGTGGGGCTCAGAGCCACTGCTCCAACCACCTAGAATCGCGTGTTGAATTTCCTTTTGCTCCTTCTCCTGTCATCCTTGTGAGCTAATTATCCTGCAAACACTGGATGAGCTATTTCTGCTTCTCCTTGAGCCTATGACTTCCCTCTTTTCCAGGTCATAAATACCCTAGTGGGTTAGTCTCTGGGACACAGTTTAGTTCTGCTCAAACACACAGGGGAGGGGTGACCAGGTGGGGGCAAATGTTCTTCCCAACGGGATCCCTTTGTACCGGGGTAGGGGTATGCCCGGAGGGGCTGCCTTAGATCAGTGTGAGCACCCCATAGGCACGTCCACAAACCCACAACTGGGCCTAGACTCCTTGCACTCTCCAAGGCTTTTGTCTCTGCTGTTCTTGACATCCTTCTGCACTGCCTTCTCCTTTTCTAGAAGCCAGAGAAAAAGAACTAGCAGGGGGATGGGTGCATAAAAGAATCTCAGGGCAGGGTAGGATGTTTGGAAGCATTTCATCTGGTCTTAGTGTTCTGCTGAGGAAAGTTGCGTCCAGAGGAGTCAGGTGACTTGCCGAAGCAAGAGTTGGCAGAACGAGGATGAGAGCCCTGTACGCCACACGCCCCACTGAGGACACATCCCTCCACTACATGGCTGCCTTTAATCTTCTAGGAACACACGCAAATAAAATTTCACTTAAGGACCTTTATTAGCACGGCAAAGTTTGGTTTCAGATGGGACTCTGATTATCCAGGTAGCAGATAGTTCGCGATTGAGCCTTTCTGCTGGGCGATGTCCTGGTGGAAGGCCTGTGTCCTCACCTGGGCTGCTCCATTTACCTCCTTACCTCATCAGAGGGAAATGGACTCATGACTTCCTCATCCACCTAACAGTTGTCAGAGTACTGGGCTGCTCAGCATCACAGTGTTGTCATGAGAAGTAATAAGATAATGGATCCAATCAACACATAATTACTGAGCGGAGTACCAGGTGCTGGGCACACACCGGGGGATGAGACAGACTTTATAGAGCTGGAATTTGGGGGGCAGGTGAAAAGCAGACGGCTAATTAATAAACGAACAATCAGGATAATTGTTGATACTGGTAAGTTCCATGAAGAAAATAAAATAGAGTCATGGGGTAGAGAGAAATGGTGCGGTGGAGGGGTCTTCTCAGAACACAGTGGTCAGAGAGCGCTCCCTGAGATGGGGCCGTTCGGGCTGGGACCCGGAGATGCATCACGGTGTGCACCATGCCAGGCACGTAGTGGGTTTTGAGATTATTGTCAAGGCCCTAATGATAAATTAATTCTGAGAAGTGTGAAACTGTACAACAGGTCATTTTAAATTTTTCTTGGATGTCTGCTCAGCTTGAAAGGGAAGAGTGACAGGAAGCACTGGAAGGCAACTACTAATGGCGTCTTTGGCCAGGTCCCCAGGAGGGTCAAGTTTCCTACGCAGGGGTGGGGAAGAGAGTGAGACTCCACAGAAGGACTGCTTTGACGTTTGCCCACTTTAAGGAATCTTTAGTTGCCAATTCCAGGGGTTCGGATTTGAAGAGTGGATTTACAAAATCGAGGCATCTAAATGAAACGACCGTGCCGTCCATTCATGAAGAACGGCACGGCACTTGTCTACATTTCAGGAGCGAAGCCCCAGCAAGGCCCCCGCATACTAGGTGCAAGGCACTGGGAAGCAGGGGCGGAGTTGACCCCACCCACTGCCTTGTCTCCAGAACCTGGCCCATAGCACACCCCAAAAGAACCTGTGTGGAATGAAGAAGTGAATGGGTAACTGATGTGTGGAGGGAAGGAAAGAGCAGCTGAGAAGACCGAGGTCTCCAGTAGAAAGCTCCAGGTTGGTGACGATTTTGAGATCACCATTTGGAGGCCATGATCAGAGTGGGTGTGGAAAGAGACTTCCAAATGTCTTCCAGTGTTTTCTTAAATGTCAATATGCCATTACTGACCCAGTACCAGGTGCTGGGGACAGACTGGGAGGTCTTCTAGAGGTCTTCTAGAAGGGGAGAGGAAAAAGCAGGGCAAACAAGGCTGAGTAATAAGAGATTCAAGTTCAACACTCTTCTAAAGATGTCATCATGACCAGTGGGGTTATGGCAGGGCTTACTTGTGGTCCTGCAGAAATTAATCTCAAAGGCCATTTGGTATCCTTTAAATTAGTGTTTAAATATAGCTAATAACAAACAATTCATTTTTCTTTCGTTTTGCTTTTAATGGAGGAAAAGGGATTAAGACACATAGAGACTCGCCAGATAAATAGGAAACCGACCAGACTAGACCACGACCTCAATATCGCAGACACATCATCAGCGAATGCGGAGGCCCTTGGAGTCCACGGCAGCTAGAATCAGGTCCCAGGGCAAAGCTGTCACCTGCCTTCCAGCAGCCGACAGCAGGTAGAGGTGCTGGAGTCCTGATTTTTCTACGTCTGTGTCATTTTCGATCAAGTGTGTCATAGAGCTTCCTGTTTCATCTCCCAGTTATTCTGAAACAAAAACACGCATGAAAAACACAGGTCACTGCCAACCGCACTGAGAGACGTCACTCTAGTACATGGAAACCGAAAAGGGAAAGATAGATGGTAAACGCCATGGGAAGCCGGGGGATCAAATTTATCAGCATCTATTCAAATAGCGATAATCAACAAAAATTGCGGGTGGTGATGAGGGGCAGGGTGTCCGTTTAAAAATAATTGAGAAGAGACTGAAAAGGCAGATGTTCCCAGAAGCCCACTGCCTGCTTACGGACAAGCTGCAGCCAGCTCTGGCCCTCTGATCAGGGTCTGTTCCTGGGGCTCGCTGAGGCTCTTTCCTTACTGCTCCTGTTGGCCTCGCTGAAGGGTCACACCGGACTTTCAGGACAAGCCTGGTGTTTGCCCAGGTGAACCCCGAGCACCCCTCCCCAAGGGTCCAAAGAGACTTGAGAGAGGTCACTGTGGAATTGCAGCCCAGCGGGGAGGGACAAGGAGGACAGTGGCTGAAGCTCAGGTCCCCTCTCCTCTTCCCATCCCAGGAGAGCTGGCCTCTCAGGTACATCAAAGCATCATGAGCAGACAAGCTTGTTCTGAACAGGCCCAGAGAGGTGGAGGGAAGGACTGACGAGAAGGGAGGCCCCCGACCAAGCAAAGGCCCTGAGGTCAGCACAGGGCTCAGAACAGCTCCAAAGACTAGGAGTCTATTAAAAATTTCTTTGTCACTTGAGACTAGTACAGTTTGGCTTCCAAGCAGCACATTGTCTGCAGAAGCTCAATCCTCAATTCTGCCAAATAAGTGAAAAGATAATTCCAAAGACAGACAGAGAGACACGCTGATTCAGAAAAACGGATGGCGTCATCTCCCTCAAAGACCATAGACCTACAAGCCGGCTGTGTGATTAAATCTGCTGCTCAGACCCTCAGAGGAGGAAGAGAGGGCCAGAGACAGCACTGCCATGGGAGGGAGGTCGGAGGGAGGTCGGACGCAGGCCTGCCCACTGTTTCCAGCGATGTTCTCTGACCAGGCGCTAGCGATGGGCAGAGAAAGGACGGGCTCTGCCCATGACTAGTCAGGGCTTCCTTGGGTACCCTGCCATCCCCTCCACATGCAACCTGCCCAAGAAGCAACCCTGAGTTCACCAGAGATACCAGCTGCCCCTGCCCCTCCCCATCTCCTGACTTTTGACAACCACAGAAAAGGAGAGGGATGCATGATTTTGGAAAAGCTCCATCCGTCCCCTAGAGATGCATTCACAATGCACAGTCGCGTACAGAAGACCCTGCAAAGTTAGGAAATAAAGAGAGCCATTTAAATTAGTCTATTGTGCGCTTCCCAAACACATCTGGAGCAGATCCCTTTTTACCCACTAGCCTTTGCTGGCAGAGTTCTGTTGAGTCACAGGGAGCAAAGCTTCTCTTACACCCAAAGACCCTGCTGTCCGGACACTCACGTGGCAGTTGCGACGTCTGTATTTATTTCTTGAGATTCTGTATTGTTTTTCCTCAGTATCTTTCCCCTCGTGTCCTGTCCACAGGAGTGAGCTGATTCACATAAACTCCTGCAGCCTTTGTTTTTTCTCCAAAGCCTCCTTTGCTAGCAGCAGTGAAATGCCGGGCTTTCTGAGGGACGACCAACCTGGCTCTGTGGTATCTGACATTCTGGGAGAATGAGTGCCCAGATGAGTCTGTTGGGAAAACCAGCTTCCTGATTTGTGTCCTATGAGCTAGCATTTTCTAACGTGAGTTAAAATCCGGAGTCTGGGCCCAAGATTTCATACGCAGTGCCTTCCTGGGTGAGCAAAGAGAAACAGGAACTAAGAAATGCATCAGTGGCCGGCATGGGTGGAAGGGGAAACCTGGTTCCTTTAATGTCACCACTGAGGTAGAGAGGTGCCTTAGGGACCTGTCCTTCTCTCCAGTGACCCCTCTTCTGAGTGGGCTGAAAAGGCAAAGAGCTACAGCCCAGGCAGGCCTCAGGATGGAACACCCGACCATGTGGCCTTTGACCGAAAGCACAGAGCGAGAGGCGGCAGGGCCTCACAGATCACCTGCTCAACCCTCATTTTACAGGCCCACAGAAGGAGGAAGTCCACAGTCTTCCTAAGGTCACCCTGGAAGGGACGCTGCTGGGACTGAGGCCTGGGTCTCTCCTCTCTGGTCCCTAGATCCTAAATTCCAACTTTCCACTGTGAGGCCGGAGCCAGCTTGTGTGGGAGCTTTTGCATAGAAAAGTCAAAGCTCTAGTGACTCCACATTGGCCTGGCTGTCTGGTCATCACTGAAGAAACCCAAGGTAGCCTATCCAGGAACTTTAACAGGCTTGTCTCTAATTCAGAGCCGATCACACATATGGCTTCCCATGTGCGAGTGGACACTGGGAGTGGGTGGAGACCCTGGCGCCGCCCCTGTGTTGGGACAGTCCTAGAGGAGCCTCTGGTGACATGGTACTCTCTTACTCTTACTCCCAGCTTGCTTAGCTACGCTGTTCCCGCACGTCTTCGGGATTCAGGGTGCCCCCATTAGGTCTCCTCACTGTGGGGACACAACTTGGCTTTCCCTCGGACCTGAGGGACGGCCTCAGGGTCACCCACATCACACTGTGAAGACAAGCCCTCATCAAGGACTTGAAATGAACCCCGGGCAACCTTCTGGATGCTCCCGGAGCTACCTCCCAAATCATGCCCTTTCTGTTCCTAATGGCAGAGGAAAGGCTAGTAGCGTGGACACTGAGAAGAGGAGAGAAACAGTAGCTCAGACACCCACCCCTAGACTGGATGGTTCACCAGTCAGAGCGTTTTACCCCTTGATTCAATCCAGGCCTCTTCTTCGAGGGCAGTAAGTCCCGGGGCAGGCAGACAGCAAAGACCACAAGCCTCCATGTGCTGTGACACCCACGGCGCTGCCAGTACCTCACTGCTGAAAGGCCAAACTGGAGGCCCAGCCCCCCACGTGCCAAACACACATTTGAAGCTGTTCTGCACCGAGGTCTTTGTCAATGCTTGGGACAGTCATGAGCCAGGCACTCACGTCCTGTTTGTGTTGACTCACATCAGATTCTGACAGTGTTGGAAGCCCACTTCTTGAGATTTTGAAACAGTTGTCCAGGAGGATAAGGTGGGCTCAGCAACACCAAGGTGTTTAGCTGTTAGGAGTTCACTGTTTTTCTTCCTTAGAACGTTGAAATCTGGAAGGCACGCTCAAGAAATGTTCATTGCTCGTCACAGACCAATTTTAGGGATAAGGGATACGGGTCCCTTGTGTAAATTATTAGGTTTTTGTGGCACCAGAGATGTCAGGGCAGGGCAGAGAGGAACCTACGCTGGAGGGGTCCCCTTCCCTTGCTTCTGAAGGAGGCTCCCATTTTTAGAGCCGCCACGGAACTCTGAGCAGACTTAGAACCTGCCCTGAGGGGACCTCCCCTGAAAGCAGTTTTTGCGAAGTGTTCCACGCATCATTACAGACCTACAGGTGGTTCAGAAAGACTCCGTGTCCTTCAACAACCCTGTCAGCAGAGTTCGAGCCTGTCCTGGGGGGAGAGAACACACGCAGCCACCATTTATTGAGCGCATCCCATATGCCAGATACTGCTGCTGACGCGCGCTCTCCCTGTAGCACCGCATCGGCCCTCACAGGTTGGTGCCATAGGACCATCTCTCTCCCCTGGGAGGCAAGGGGAGTTCAACAACTCACTCACTGGTACATGGTGGGGCCCAGCTGCCACTCCAGCATCCTGATATGACGTTCTGCCACCCTCTGGGATGAACAGGAGCTCATGGGGGATTCAAACACCCTGACCCTCTGAGGATCCTGTAGGTCTGCCCACATTTTGGTACAGAAAGGTACCTATTAAACCCCTCCCTCCGTTTGTGCTAAAGGTAGACACAGAGACAAGGCTGGGCCCCCTGAGGGCTGGCCCTCACTGGATTATTTCCTGGTCCAGTCATGCCACCCCCTCACCTTGGCCACTTTCTCTATCCATAAGATAAAACCCATTTTTTCAAAGAACTAAACTTCAGAAACGTTTTAGTAGATCTATAGTCTGGTTGACATTGTGAAAGGCCAAAATTACAGGTAACCTTGCTATATAGTTACTAAGAGCTGCCAGGGGCCTTCTGAAAGGCTGTTTTGACCTCTAAGGTTCTGCTAGGACACACGAAGGAAACCTCAGCATCAGAGGAAAGTGGAGATAACCAACAGGCTCCACCAGACATCATCTCTTAAGTATTCCAATCATTCAGGGCCCACAGCTCTAAGCGTGCTTCTCAATGTGGGCCTCTGGACATCACCTGAGAATTTGTAAGAAATGCAAATTCTCAGGCCCCACCCAGACCTTCTAAATGGGTAACTCTGGGGGTGAAGCCCAGAATGTCTGTTTTTATAAGCCCCCAGGTGATTCAGATGCCTGCGGGAGAATCACCAGTGGTGAGTGACACCCACTCCTGGTGACGCTCTTGGACATGGGGCCAAGGGTTCGGCTCCTAGTGACCATGGGTGACTGCAGACGGGCCAGTTTAGTCAACTGCACCCGAGCTCTCCGCCAGACGGCTGTCTCCTGAGGTACCCACAGCGGGAGGAAAGAGCAAGAAGCCATCTGAGACTTCCCACATGTCTTTCTGGGGAGACCTGAGGAGACACGTTGGCACGATTCATCGCTACGCCTCCTTCTCCGGATGCTGCTCATCTGCTCAGCCGGGCTGAGCTGGGGATGCCAGCCCTGTGCCACCACCGATTTCTCCTCGTCATCCCACTTCTCTCCCAGCCACGCGTCATACTCCCTCACCGTGGCCTTCCTCTCCCCTCCTCTCAGGCTCCTTTGCCTGAGGAGAGTCCTTGAGCCATGACGGCTATTGGTATTTCTCTCAAATAGAAGAATGGGAAATGCTTTCACCAGCTTGGGCCTCCTGACTGCCACCCTGGCAGGAGACGTGGGAACAAAGCTTCAGAGCTCTGCTTACACCAACATGTGACAGTGCACCGGGGGAGCGCCAGCAAAATGTCACAACCGGACAGGTA